CGAGGAGGCAAGGCGGCGGAGATGGCAGCGCCGGTGAACGGGCCCGCGCGGGAGGCGGCGGCGGCGGCTCCGGGCCGGGAGGGCCTCGGTCGGGCTCGGCGGGCCGCGGTGCGGTGGGGAGGCCGGGGAAGACGCGTGCTGCGCTGTGGGTGGAGGAGGGAGGCAGCGCGGTGACGTGGCACGACCTCATTGGACGGAGCGATGTGTCCGGTGGACATGTCCGGCGCGGATGGACATGTCCGGTGGCGCGAGGAGGGAAAAGCCTAGGGTTAGACCGCGAATTTCGGAGAGGGGCACATATATATATAGGTAGAGGGGGCTAGGAGAGTCCAAATGGAGTGCGGTTTTCGGCCACGCGATCGTGATCGAACGACCGAGAGGATGGAGGGGGTTTGGATGGGTTTGGGGCCACTTTGGAGGGTTGTTGGGCTGCAACACACACGAAGCGAGAGGTGAATAAATAAGAGAGTCTTCGGTAAGGACTTCCAACATGGAAAGCATGTGAACCAAAGAAAAAGATATGATCGACACCGAAAGCTTGCATTGAAACCACCGGAGAAGGAAAAGAACAAAGAATGATGAACTTAACCTCCGTTAGTATCTTCCTGAGAATCACCGGATAAGAATATTGACGGAAAACAATGGAAAGACTTCTCATCAATAAGATGGATACTTGATTAAGAAATCTGAGTCCTTGAAGAAAAAGGGTGGGAGGGAGGGAAAACAAAGACAACTTAGGACGGATGAAACAAACAACATTGAGAAGACTTTGAGTTGACCTTGCGGATGTTGAAATGAACGGATCCACTTGAAGAGAAACACGCCGGTTGAAAAGAATTGACATGACAATCTCAATTATCATGAAGGATTAGTATTCACATAGAAATATGAGAACATCACTTGGAAAAGGTATGGAATCAACACTTGACTTCGAAGCAACTCGAATACCACAAACCAAAACAAAACAAAGGATTGGCTTGCAGAATAAGCCGGAACAAACATATGATAGAGATTTCATCCGAAGTTTTCATGGTGGGGCCCACACAGGCTCAATCATACAGCACCATCATGTACAAAGCAGTGCACATGACATACGAAGCGTCCCCGAGTCAGCATAACCAAGGACTCTTTAAGACACAACGAGACCACTATAAAACCAACCGTGGATAGGCGTACCACTAGACGGTGAACCCCAATCTCGTATCATGCATCTGTCAGAAAGATATCCTAAGAGCTACTTGAATTCCCGCTTATAAACTCCCGAAACTTTCTAGTTATGCAATCAGGTGTTGGGGATACAGGGGAAGCATAATATGTCACCCAAACTAGCAAATCCTACATCCAGTTGTATCCATCCTTCAACACATAACCAAGAAACCTTTGGAAATCATTTACCTCAACCTTCGAAAAGCATCCATTATACGAGTTATGGCAATACTCCCGAACTCTCGCCCCAGTACTGGGTGGCGTCGAGGTTATCTCACCAACAACTACATAAAAGAGATTTTCGATGTCGGCGAAACTCAGGTATTCCAGAACTGCAATGATATAATTGTGACGACAACACCCCGGAGCTCAACTCCCCTGGACACTGCTACAACCCCTAAATGTCAGGAGGCACCAAGAACAATGTTCTCGTCACAAAACCATCGTAACGATTCCAAGATACCCGCGTGATCCTAAAAAAATTCGTGAAATTTGAGAAAAGAAGAGTCAAAACTCTACGTCAGGAGGCCTCACCAGAGCGACGAAGGGACTAAGGAGTAAAAAGAATCCTACTCTCCAATATATATAATCCTAAGACTCAAAACATTTTTCTAGACTCAACAACGCCAGCGATTCGATCAAGCAGGGGGCTCCTAAGTCGGGGAGGGCTCTGATTACCAACTTGTAACACCCACGATGTGGCTATATCTCCCACGTGTCGGAGCACGACTTAGAGGCATAACCGCAGTGTAGGCATGTCGCAAGAGGGGTAATCTTTACACATCCCATGTACTGAACAAGAAAGAGATAAAGACTTGTCTTTCAATCGCCACTTCACACAATACATAAATATAGCATTACATCATCTAGAATACAATCAAGGTCCGACTACGGAACCAAAATAAAGACAACCCCAAATGCATAAGATCCCCGATCGCCCCAACTGGGCTCCACTACTAATCGTCTAGAAAGGAAACATATTAACGTCCCGAGACCTCGTCGAACTCCCACTTGAGTTCAGTCGCATCCCCTGGAATGGCATCATCGGCACCTGCATCTGGTTCTGGAAGTAATCTGTGAGTCACGGGGACTCAGCAATCTCACACCCTCGCGATCAAGACTATTTAAGCTCATGGGTAGGAAAAGGTAGTGAGGTGGAGCTGCAGCAAGCACTAGCATATATGGTAGCTACCTTACGCAAAACAGAGCGAGAAGAGAAGGAAAAGCACGGTCGTGAACTAGAAGTGATCCTGAAACTACTTTCGTTCAAGCATAACACGAGACCGTGTTCTCTTCCCGGACTCCGCCGAAAAGAGACCATCACGGCTACACACGCGCTTGATCCATATTAATTAAGTTAAGTTTCAAGTTCTCTCTAACCGGACATTAACAAATTCCCATCTGCCCATAACCGCGAGCACGGCTTTCGAAAGTTCAAAACCCTACAGGGGTGTCCCAACTTAGCCCATCACAAGCTCTCATGGTCAACGAAGGATATTCCTTCTCCCAGGAAGACCCGATCAGACTCGGAATCCCGGTTACAATACATTTCGACTATGGTAAAACAAGACCAGCAAGACCGCCCGATGCGCCGACATCCCGATAGGATCTGCACATATCTCGTTCTCAGGGCAACACCGGATGAACACTACGTACATCTAAAACCAACCCTCAAGTTTCCCTGAGGTGGCGCCGCAAGTGGCTCTGTTTCGGACCAACACTTAGACAAGCACTGGCCTGGGAGG